TATAATCTATTTATTATATTATTTTTTATAATAATATAATCTATTATAATAATAATAATAGGTTATAATATAATCTATTATAATAATAATAATAAGTTATAATATAATCTATTATAATAATAATAATAGGTTATAATATAATCTATTATAATCTAGTTATAAAACTAGATTACGAATTTGCACAAATTGTACAATTTACTTACGTAATCAATGGCAAAAAGAAAAGAACGCGTAGATCAAGTACGAAACAACAAACGCATTTAAAGAACCGAGAAACACCATCATGTTCCTCTAAACTCGTTAAAATTGTTCAGAAAATGAGATACATATCTTGCAATAAAAGCGGACAATTTTTACTTTCCATAAAAATTCTCAGTCCAGTTATAATTAGTAGAAAAGAATCACGGGAGAAAATGTTAAAATCTGATTTACAACAAAAATGACTCGGAGATTTCTATTCGTATGTAACCTCCATAAGTTGTAGCTGCCAGCCGATAATCATGCTAAACAATTGGAATAATAACGGTTGCTGGCTTTCGAAGCGTAGACAAACGTCCGGTAGCTAAAGCGTTGAACGAAAGACCGATAGAAAGACGAAATATTAAAAGCACTCGTTTCGGAATTTCCAGAATCGATTCGTCAGCTACGATGTCCTGGACAGGAGCACCGAGGAGAGCCAAGTCAAGGTGAGTACTATACTGCCGCGACCCCCATGGTCCTCCGTCGGTCCAGCCATTCGTGCTAATACAATGTGGACAGGCGGACAAACGGTCCCCGAACGCGGTCGCTAATGGCCGTCCCGTAAATCAGTATCAGCCGGCGAATTTCTGCGGGCAACAGGTGGCGAATGGCGACCGACGGAGGCTCGTTAATTCTCGTCGGTTATCACCGGCGCGCGCACTGTTTCATTCTCGTCGCAACGACTCGGAAAAACGATCCAGGCGATCCGTTCGCCGGCACGGAAAAATGCTTTCCCGCCGATGCTTCTGGCAAACGAGCTGGCGAACGGCTGGGAATTGGCGCAGAAGTTTCGTCGCGTCGACTTCTCGCGAAATTCTGCGGAGGGAAAATTGAGAATTGCAATATTTTCAAATTTTAATATTGGAATATTTTCAAATTTTAATATTGGAATATTTTCAAATTTTAATATTGGAATATTTTCAATACTTTCAAAGACTGCGATTAGACCGCGGTTCTCTATGCGATAGACAAATTTTCCGATTCAATTTAACTGTAACGAAGCAAAATTAAGTAAAAGTATACATTTCTTATTTCAACGATTTTATTAACGCTTTGCACTCGAGTGGTGACTCGGAGGCACTATTAAAATTTGTTACATCACGTTTTAAGATAATTCTTATGTTAACAAAGTTTAGATTTAAAAAATTGTTAATAATGTAACCGTTGTGTAAGTGCCAAGAGTCAATTTCATATGCATAAACTGCACTTTATCATGTAAAATAAGAAATACTATAAGTGAGAAAAATGATTCTATATTTACGGTTCAAACAGCTTCGAGTGCAAATGGTTAAATTGAGAAGAAGATGGCATTTTAGAATTTTTACGATTTACCCTTTTATCTTGTTATTTGTATCACAATTGCATAAAATCCACGGTCTAGTCGTTAAAATTGAGAAGTTCTCGTTCGCTAAATCATTTCAATATCTTACGAAGGAGATAAGGCGCGTTTATGGCAAGAACATACACTGATGTCACAGCAAGTGAAATCACACGTGGATTCGCAGGAATGATATCCGTCCACCACGCGTGACGATATATGAACAACGCGATGCGATACTGATCTGTTTCTAACTGATTTGGTATAATATTGGGTTGGCAATTAAGTAATAGCCGATTTCAGTTATAGATATCTCTCACTCCCATTTTTATGATATCCGTAAATGTTATATTGTAAAATTATTATTATTATTATTATGTTATTTTTTATTATCGGTAAATGTTAGCAACTAGACAAATTGAATGCAGCGATCAAGGAAAAGCGACCAGAATTGGTCGATCGTAAAGGTGTCATTTTCCAGCAGGACAATGCTAGGCCGCACACGTCTTTGTCCACTCGGCAAAAATTGATGGATATTGCTTGGGAATTGATGTTACACCCACCATATAGCCCCGATCCCTTCGTGGTAAAACTTTTAACCCTTTGCACTCGAATGGCGACTCTGAGGCGCCACTAAAAATTGGTGTACCATTTTTCAAAATCATTCTAAGAGCATCGGACTCGTTTCTACTTGAAAAGAAACTATTAAAATTGCATTGTACTTGTCAACAGGCTCAATTTCATGTGCATAAGTCGCAATAAATTATATAAAAAAGAACTACTATAGATCAGAAATCATGTTTTGGATTTCGAATTCGAATAGCTTCGACCGCAAAGGCTTAACGATGATGACGCTGTAAAGTCTCACTTAACTCAGTTTTTGGCCGAGAAGGATCAGCCTTTCTACGAGCGTGGAATTTTCAAGTTGTCAGAGAGATGGCAAAAGGTCATCGAACAAAATGGAAAATACATTAAACTTCATTCCAAGTAAACAAATATTTTATTTCATTAAACAAATCAGCAATTACTTAGTTGCCAACCCAATAGAAACGAGCAGTTTTCGAATGTCACATGATTTCACCCGATATCACGCGACGTGTGATATTATTACGTTTCTACCTTGAATGGAACATTCTAAGAACGAAGAGAGACATCGAATATTTGTCGGACCAACTCGAAGTTTTCACGGAATCAAAGTAAATCAAAGTACGAATTTAAAGTAAATTCTGCCCAATTATCCTTCAGCTTGTAAACAAAACTGAACAATTTGGGAAGAGATGATTATTCGTGCATCGCACCTCGATGCATTTTTGTTTAGAAGATGAAGGAAAATTAGGAAGAATTTACTGTATTCTCGGAACAATCGAATTCAGAAGGATACCGAAACTATAAAAATCGATCCCTTGAATATTGAAGAAGGCAGGCCTTGAATATTGGATAAAGAATCTATCGCCTTGAAACCGAGAGGTGTCATTAGTCCGCGAGAACGGCTTGATTTGAGTGAAGGGGCGTCTGGCTCGGTCTCTGGAACCGCGTAAAATCGTTCCGGGGACAGAAGCTCGAGCCGCGGAATGTTTTACGTCCCTTTTACGGGTGTTCTCGTTGTCGTTGCCGCGGTTGTTCCGCGGCCGATCTGCTCCGTTTCTCGGCGCGAGGCGAGCGAAGCGAGTAGAGCAGAGCAGAGCGAAGCGAAGCTTCGCCGCTATTATTTCCGGCTGCGTTCTCCATCGCGAATCTCTCGCCGCTCGCTACACTCTTATTGTGCTGGCGTGCGCGCGCGCGCGGCGACACACGACACAATCGTTAAAACAATGCTCTTCTCTCTGTGCGAATCGAGCGCGAGCCGCCAGGAAAACGTTTCCGAGGAACGCCGCCGCGCGAAAAACTGGGTTACGTTTTATCTGATAGAAACGCGCTCGTAAAACCCGCGCAAAAGTATCCGGCCCGACTTCGCGAAATTCTCGCATCGGACCAGCATTATTAATTCCCGATGCATCCGCTGGCTTTTCCGCGAATGAAAGAAAAAAGAAAAAAAGAACAAACAAATTTCCGCCGTACCGGGAAACCAATTTCTAGAAAACAGTTTGTCACTGAGTTTCTAACCGCTGCTGCGTCTGCGGAATCGTTTTACCGCATCAGAGTTGCTTCGTACGAACAGTGGTTAACCCCTGCCTTGTGTAATAAGCCAATCAAACTCGTGGTGTTTATCTCTGCGGATTTCATGCATTTATGATAAGAACGAGCAGAGCGTCGTGTTTCAAAGCAGCGAATAGCTTGAAAGTGTTTCGGAAATATCGTTGCACCGATCTCGTCGACTTGCCGCTATAAATCGGTAAGGGAAAAGTGAAAATTCGATTTCGTTTCCTTGTGATTGATGCGAGCGGTTTTTATGTTGCATAAACCCCTGCAGTCTATTTATCAAGCGTTGGTTCTCCGCTGTTGAAAATTTGCTGAACGCACAAGCAAAGCGATTCTTACATTCTCGAATTGATTTCCATTTGTTGGTTTGCTAAGAGTTTCGGTGCTGTAGGAATAACTGGATTCAGTAAGGATAATAACTGGATTCAGTTTCGAAAGAAATGTCTCGGTTTTCGAAATTAGGATAGATTCGAGTGTGAAGGGTTGAGCAAACTTTAACACTTTATCTACCGGAAGTCTATCGATTGCATGTTTAATGACTGGGTTGGGTGTCCAAGAGAAGCTCGATAATGAGTTTCTAAATCGATATTTAATATTTTTTAATATTCACTTAAATCGATATAATGTTTATCTTGAAAGAAGTTGTTACATTATATCGATCCAAATGATTTATCGGATCACGGCTGAGATTATTATCAGATTAGAACAATTTCTTGAAAAATTTTCAACCGTTGATTAAGAAATTGCCGTTAGATAAAATGGGGTTGAATGAGGGGTTGACTAATGAAGTAAATCTGGACATGCGACAAATATGAATTTTCTGCTTCCGCTACAGAATTGCTAAGGTTGCAAATGTGCTAAACAAGTGGACAACAATATTTGCCAATTCTTTCTTTCGTACCAAATTCGCCGACCGGGGTGATCCCTTTCAAAAAGCCCGTTATCTAAAAAAATGACTTGGTAAATAAAATCGTTTGATTTCAGAAAAATTTTAGGAAAATTGTGCCGTAAATTCTCCCTAATTTTCCTTCATCTCGTAAGCAAAAATGTTCAATTTAGGAAGAGGAGATACGATTATTCTAGCCTTCCTCCTCGTTTCCATAATTATTGACAATCGGCAACCATAAGAATGAGCCGGCAAAGCTCGAATAATCAGCTGTTCCCAAATTGTCCATTTTTGTTTACAAACTGAAAAAAAAATTACAAAGAATTTACTGTACTTTTAAATTTTCATGTACAGAGAAATCGCGGAAAATTTGCCGTTGCACGTTTCGGTCGCGATTGCGGAGGCGGGATAAACAACCGTTCGGCTCGTAGACTCGTGAAAAAAGATTCGAGAGTGAGCGCTCGTGCACGGTGAATAGGACACCGTAGGAACGACGCGATATGGAGTTTACCGTTACTTGGCCCGAAGTCTCGTTACAGCCGGGGATCAAGCCGTCGAATGGTGTTCGAGGCTCGGCGGTAGCCTCGCTTTCGGTTCATCGGGAAAGAAGAGAGAGAGAGAAAGAGAGAGAGAGAGAGAGGGAGAGAGAGAGAGAGAGAGAAAGACCGACGGAGCCGGCCAGAGATAGATCAGGGACGATCCGCCGGTAACATTGTTTTCTTCCCGTTCTGTTTGGACTGTTTTTACCGTGGAAACGAGACGCGGCCGTCTCTCTTACGTATCGTTTGCCCGGATATTGTTTCATCGGCGGCAATAATCGCGCGGATTCCATCCGCGATATCGAGCCTCGGGTCCGGTTTACGTACACGCGAGTCCTCGTGTCTCTTTTGCGGACGACCCGACACCATAAGCCGTTCTTTCCAAAGGGAACACCCGAACCGATTGAAAATTCTCCGCGGTGTGGAACGGTTTTTCGGTCGCGACACACGCGCGACGAGCAAAACGATCCCCTTGACATCCAAACGACGGGAACTTCGTGGAAACAAATTCGATGATGATCCACTCGGGCTTATTTTACGGGCTGAAGCTTGCAATTTTAGCTT